AGTTGAGGAAACATAGTTTATTTATTTATTTATTTATTTATTTATTTCAATTCCACAGTTTTATTTTTAAATTTTTTTTATTTTAAAGAGAAAAAAATAAAAATAGCAATAAAACAGTTTCAAAACAGGTTAGTGGGAGAGTTACAATAATTAATACATTGCATGTTGTTATCTTCATAGTAGTTATTCAGAGTACAAGACATAGGCCTGATATCTTGTCCAAACAATATTAGCACAAACCTTTCTTTTCAATGAAGGAAGGGAAACTAGCTTTATAACTATCTTAACTATCTTGTGTATAAATATATTTTTTCTTTTTCCCTTCCTTCCCTTCCCTTTTTCCCCATCACAGACTGTCTTTTCTTTTGATCGGTTTCTTTCCATTTTATTCTATTGTATACTTTGGATCTTATTTACTCATTCAGTTTCTCACACTAGTGAGACAAAATGATGTTTACACATGTAGATCTGATTTATTTCACTTATGAGTATGGTCTTGAGTTGCATCCATTTACCTATAAAAGTCTCCAGTTTATCCTTCTTTATGGCTGAGTAGTACTCCATTATATAAAAACCCCATGCCACAGCGATATATGTGCACCCATGTTCATAGCAGCACAATTTGTAATAGCTAAATATTGGAAACAATCCAAATGCCCATCAACCAAGGAATGGATAAAAAGGTAATTTTATACAATGGAGCACTACTCAGCCATAAAGAAGGATAAACTGGAAACTTTTATAGGTAAATGGAAGACATGGAGGTTGAAAGGTGATCCATGATTTGCTTACCACACAGTGGCTTCTGGGTACATAGGTAGACAACATTGCTTCATAAGGCTATAAGAAAACAGTCCAAGTTCAGAGAATTTATCAGAACAAAAGCTTTCTTCATCACTAAGGAAAGTGATACAATTCAACTAGCTTAGTAGAAAATGTCATTACATTGAAAACTTTAATATAACACATGAATTTTATAGCCCAGTTGATGGCCCATTTTTATAAGCAATATTGGTTTCAGGAAATGACAACATCCTAACCATTTACATTAGGAACAAATTCAAGTTGACATAAAATGTGACCATGCGGGTGGATAATCCTGCCCTCTTGGATCAATCTACTTCTCGTGTACATTTTGACCAGGAAAAGAAGTACCGTTTCCAGAACCAAGTGGACAAGATGAAAGAAAAGGTCAAGAACGTGGAGGAAAGGTCAAAAGAATTTGTTAACCGAGTGGAAGAAAAGAGCCATGATCTAATTCAAAAATGGGAAGAGAAATCACGGGAATTCATTGGCAACTTCCTAGAACTGTTTGGACCTGATGGAGCATGGGTATGTAGTTATCTCTCTTAGCCACACAGTAATGTGTGTTTTCACTTTATCCCCCTTTTCATGGAGCCTCTGAAGGGCATCCTTGCCTCCTGCTGTCTCTACTTGGGCACCAGCCTAGATGACTTCAAGCCATGTCACTTCCTTATTTAGTTACCACTTTACCCCTCAGTGTGGCACTGCGTAGCGCCAGAAGCCAGGCCTGGGTTCTGCTTTTATACTTTCTCTGGAGTTTAGAAGCCATTAATTATTCACTGTATGTCCATTAGTGCAAAGTTTGGTTTTGTAACTCATGCCAGTCTCCCAGCCGGGGAGGAGGCAAAGCTTGGGGGTAAAGCTGGTCAGTGGCAGTCCTGAGCTTGTGTTGCAAGATAAGGTCAGTGGGCTCTTAGTTCAATCACAGTCGTTTATGTTGGGTGGGGGAGAATGCAAAAGAAGTGTAGCTGTCTCAATCATCTTTTGTTGTCAGGAACGCTCCCTTTTCACTGGTTGCAAGAGATAGAATTTTGCTATACATCTGTATTCATCATGGCCTGATTTTCCCATGGCATGAAAGTGTTGGGATAAATGACAAAATTCTTAGAGGACTGAGATAATGAACTGAGAGAGCAAATATAGCTCATTTCCTTGTCTAAGTTCTATGAACAACTGTGAATGCTAACTCTATGAAAATTCTGGAAGCCACTTTATATTCCATTGGTATTTCTACTGTGCATGCCCTGTTGGAATAAATAACCAATATTGTCAGAGGAGTTTATGAGTATTCTATGAAGCAAATACTTTTAAAGTTGACTTTCCTTTTAGAACAAAAAGAAATTATTCCATTTGATATCCCTAGTCTTAAGTAGCCTAGATTTCCCATTATGAAATGAGAAGTTTCTAACAAAACCCACTTTGACTTAATTATTTTATTGATGGGTTGTCACTGCTGCTTCTGCTCATTTGAGCTCGTTCATTATAGGATTATCTAAAAGTAAAACACTCAATTAGTTATAGAAAAAGAACAATGTTCAGGAAGTTGGAAGAGATGGTTTGCTTCAAGCCCAGTGGACTCTAAGTGATTATAGGGGTGGGTGTTACATGCCAACACCATCCTAGGGATCGGCTGAGTCTGAGAGAGCTAGAAATTATGCAAGGGCTGCTTGAGCTTAATAATTTCCAGAAAGAGCTCGCAAGAGCGTGAAGAGCAACGCACTGAGCTCCTTTTTGCTTTCCTCAGGCCTGTTGAAGTTTTCAGTTCAGATGATTTAATTCACGGGACATGTATTAATGTTCTTGTCCATGCTTGACACTGTCGAACAAAGACAGATAAGGTGAAGACTCTTTTCTCTGATCTCCAAAACATAAAGTCTGAAATTTCCCATTTTCTTTAATAGTTCCCATTTTCATAACTAATGTTCAGGCTCAGAGGAAACAGCTACTAGCAGTAGTTTTTAATAACACCACATAGGTATTCATTTGCTTACAAGGATTCAGAAATGTATCTCTGCTGAGAAGCCCTCATACTGTAACTCAAGGGATGGATGTTTCTCTCCCTGGGGTGAGCAAAGGCAGGCAAAGGATATAATTTCATAGAAACTTTATAGACCTTTATTGTTTCAGGTTCCCAGTGAAGGTGAAATAGTAGCTAGAATTGTTCTTGGGGACTCTGGTGACAATGAGCTGAGGTGATTTTTAAGAAATGAAACCCAGCTTAGAAACTGGAGGCTTTTCTTTTTAAAACTTGCTATTAGTGTCAAAACTGTTATTAACATTAATTTACTATATCAGCCAGACTTAGACATTACTTTTTTCTGTTGACATTAAAAGTGCAGGAATAGTTACAAGGATGTTAAACGCCAAGATAAGTAATTTGCTTTTCATGAATATGCTATTATTATAATAATTCTTTATTTGTGGATTTGGGACTGGAACTCATTTCTTAAAATAGAGGATCTGCATTACCTGCAAATACAGTACTGATACAAATAACCCAAACTTGGAAAGGTACAAAATAGAAGGATTAAAAGTACAAAATTTGGTACAAGAGGTTTGGTAGCTTATAGTGGATACTCCATAAAATTTTCTGAATTGAATGAATGGATGTGTGAGGAAGACCTATTCACAAAAATGTCCGGCATCTGCGAAGGCCTAAGTCCTCCACATACATGTATGTGTCACAAGCCTTTTATTGCTCATGATGCTGAATACAGGGACTGATTACAACTTCACGTTTGGTGGGTCAGATTTAACAGGCAGACTTGGTATGCTTAACACTCAACCATATTTTAAAAGTTCTTTTGGGGAGGGTGTGAACTCTGTTTTTCTTGTAGCCACATCACTCCTAGAGGCTCTACCCACTTCCTCAGCCTGACTCACACATTTATGCTGCCTGCCTGGTCCCAGAGAGCATTTTAATTTGCTCTTTTCCACTGTGGGAGAACATGACACAAGGATGTGAGTAGCAAGAGGTGAGGGACATTAAGGGCCATATTGGAGGCTGCCTGCCACAGTGGTTTTTAAGAATTGGAAGCAAGCAGTCTGTACTTCTTCACTGCTGTAATAGATTGTCTATTCCTATTTGTTCAGTTTGGTTGGTGGATTATCAGGCACAGGCTGTTATTTTTCAATTTTATCAGTCTACTTATTTAACCACTTTTGTTTGATTCTTCTAAAGAGTCTTGACTTGTGCTCAGAAGATAGCTTATAACACAACCAATGTGGCAAAGGGAACCCTTCTGTGTTAGTCAGCTTCACATTACTGTAACGGAATTCATGAGACAATCAACTTGAAAAAAGGAAGTATTTATTTTGGCTCACAGTTTTGGGAAACTCAGTCCATGGTCGGTCGATCCTATTGCTTTTGAGCTTGTGGGGAAGCATAATATTATGGTGGGAGATTGTGGTAGAGAAAGCTACTCACCTTGTGGAAGCCAGGAAGTGAGAGAGCGAGGAAGTGGTGGGGTCTCACAGTTCCCTTAGACGGTACACCTTTGGTGATGGGAAGACGTCCCACTCCGAATCACCTTTGAAGTTTCCACCATGTCCTAATAGCGCGGTGGGCAGAAGACCAAGCCTTTACAACATGCAAAACTTTGGGGAAGGGTCCAGATCGAAACTATACCACCCTTCCAACAGAGGTTGGTATTACTGTTCTTTGGTGGTGTCTCTAAAAGAATGACTGTCACAAGAAGGGTTTTTAAGGAGCTTAATTTTGAAGTATTGTTGATTTGTTGGAGGTAATGCCATTGTTTCCAAAATGGCACTTAGTATTGAGGGTCTTGGAGCCTGAGTTAGGGAATGTTGACTCAGAGTTCAGGGTCTGGTTTGGGAGTAGAGTTGTCCCATGTTTGAAGTCTCTGAATTTGCAAAACAGACACAGCCTCTTTAAATGTTAGCACCTCAGCCACATGTGCCATTTTAAAAAACATTATGTGTCAACCTGAACGACCTGCCACTGCATTCCTTCACTGACTGAAAACAGAATTCTTGCTTTTTGACACTGAAACAACTATTTTACCATGTAAACACAGACCCTTTCGTTGAGCACCAAGAAAGAATGATTTTAAATCAGGTGCAAGTTGTTAGTTCACCATAGACTAGTAGAGTCCTTTTGTTCCAGTACGATCAGTCTGACAGATCCCATGCCAACCAAACAGGTATGTGCCATGCTCTATATGAAATTCCCTTTCAAAACATAGACTGTGTCTGTTCTTCACCGCTAATTTTTAAAATTGTGGTAAATAGCATAAAATTTGCTATTTAAACTACTTTTAAGTGTACAGTAGCATTAAGTACATTTGCATTGTGGGGGAGCCATCCCCACCATCCATTTCCAGAGTTATTTTTATCATCCCAGATAGAAACTCCATACCCTTTTTTAAATTTCTTTTTTGAGACGTGAGGCTTGATATGTAATTTGGGCTTGCCTTGAACTCATGGCGATCCTCCTGCCTCAGCCTCCAGACTGCTAGAACAATAGGCATGCACTGAGGGTTGAATTTAGGGCTTTCAGCACCCTAGGCAAGGGCTCTAACACTGAGCTACACCTCAGCCCTTGTGCCCTTTAAACAACTCTCCCCAGCCCCTGAGAAATACTCTCCTTTCTGTCTCTGTGAATCTGACTACTCTATGTACCATATATATATATATATATATATATATATATATATATATATA